GGGCTCCAGATTTCCGACCCCCACCCCCACCCCCTTGGTGGACTCGGACCGCCGAGAGCCGAGAGACCAGATGCTCGCGAGTGCTGGACAAGTGAAGTAACCCGCTGGGTGCGTCTTAGCCAGGCTGGCGGGACCAGGGCGGGTCTCTGGGCTCCCGATTCCCAATCTAGGGCTCTTGTCCACCACACCCCGGGTCTTCCCAGGGCGCCCCTGTACCCCGGGCAGGTGGGACTTTCAGGTGTGTGTGCGGGGCTGCCCCTCACCCCAGGCTCCTGGCACAGGGTGCAGGCTCAGCCAGCCTCTCAAAATCTGGCACCAGGCTCTCTTGGGCCCTCGCCCCCCAGAGATGACTTCCTGGCAGCCGGCTTCCCAGTGAGGGTAGAGGGCAAGTGGGAAGGCAGGGGTGTCCTCGTCTTTCCTCATCTCCTGCGTGGCCGGGGCGGGGCGCCTGCCCGGCCGTGTTGGAGAGGGGTTAGGACCTCTGAGCTCGCCGCTGGACGCACAGGTCCGTTGCTTGCTCCGCGCGCAGTGGTCCGTCGTGGCGCCGCTTCACCTGATTTCCCTTTGTTGCCTCAGTTCTTCCTCTCAGACGCCTCAGAGCAAAGGATTTGTGGCCCCTAAGAAAGAAAGTGAGATAAGGAGAGGCCCCCTGGGGACCCTCATTTCCCAGGGAAGTTCGGGGTGAGATTAATGGCAAGAGGGAAAACTGAAGCGCCAGGCTTACATTCTCCTAACAACCCTCCGAGGTGTATTTTTTACCCCGCTTTACACATGAGGAAGTGAAGCCCAGCCACGTTTCAGTACCTTGCCCTAGAAGTGGCAGACAGAATTTGAATCCAAGTTAGTCTAGCACCAAAACCGGTGCTCCGTTAACTGTGAAAGGCTTGTGATTTAAGTGGGTGAAACTGTCATCCTCAAGGTTCCAAGAGAGTTTCAGCTGGAATTTCTCTTTCAAGTGACTTCTATGTGACAGAAGCTTGCTAGGAGTGTTTAGGGGGAAACAGGAGTCCCATGGGGTGAAGTGGGGCTATCAAGTTGGATTCTGCCTGTTAATAAAATTTTCTGGAAGTTGAAATACTGTTCACACCAATGTCAGAAAAGGACATCACATTTTGCCCTGTGTGTGGTTCTCTTCTGAGAACAGGAAGAGTGTGCAAAGGATATGATAAACCCTTATCTAGCAAGAACTTCCCTTCAGAAGGGCCCATTTGGGGTGCCCCGCAAGATACTAAAATGGGTAAAGTCATAGTCCCCTCCACTCCCCCTTATGTCCCCGAGCAAAGGATGAAAAGGAAGGATTCCCAGCATCTTTTGGAGAAACAGCCTTTTACATAGTGTCTTCATGGCATTTATTTCTTCAGCATATCTATACTGAGCATATGCCAAATATTGCTCTAGGTACTGGGGACATGGTGGTGAATAAAAAATTATAGTGCATGCTCTCAGAGAGTTTATATTCTTGTGGGGAGAGGCAGGAAATAAATGAGAACATATCAGATAGTATAACAGAGAGAGAGACATGGGTAGTCAGGGAAGGCTTCTCTGAGATGACATTCAGGCTTAGACTTGAATGGCAAGGAGTCAGCTCTGCAAAGACTCAGAGGAAAAGCCTTGTAGACAGAAGGAACAGGAAGTGCAAAGTCCCTGAGGCAGCAATGGGCATGGTCATTTTGAAGAATAGCAAGGAAGCCACCATGGTTGAGGAGAGCTGTTGAAGTGAGGTGGGAATGGGGGGAGGGGCCGACTGTGGATTCCTGTAGGCCCCATGGGAAGGATGCGGAATTTTATTCAAACTGCAATGGCAAGCTGTTGGAGGGTTTTAAGCAGAGATGAGACACGATCAAATTTATGTTACACGACTGGATAGGGAGTGGACAGTAGGGAACGAGAGCAGAAACAGGGAAGCCATTTAGGAGGCCACTGATCGATTTGGTGGGGGGATTGGGAAAGAGAAATCGAGGGCTCCTAGGTTTGTGGCTCGATCTGCTGAGTGGACACGGAGGCCATTTAATGCAATGGGGACAATAGGGTTAGGAGTTGGGTTGGACAATGGGTGGAAATCAGGAGTTGTGTTTTGACCATGCTTAGCTGAAATGCCGGGTAGGCAACCATGTGGGGCTGAGTAGGCAGTCGAATATTCCAGTCTGGAGTTCACTGGATAGCTTAGGGCTTGTGAGATACGCACACATTTGGAGTCATAAACAGTACTTTATCTCAGTGATGGGCTGGGAAACAGTCTCCCCAGGAAAATAAAGAAAGCACCTCTGATATGTAGTGTTTGCTGATATCTGTGGTATAAATTCGCCACGGCTGATTTCACGCTGCCAGTGGTTCAGCGCTGGCAGAAATCCTGAACATTAAACTCCGATCCTGGAGCAAATAACACTCGGCTTCATTTGCGCATCAAAACAACTCTTGAAGTTGGCAGGAATGTTCCATTTGACAGACGAGACTTAGATTCAGTGATCTATTCAAGGTCACACAGGGAGTTGGTGGCAAAGTTGGGGGCCTCCTGACCCTCCCAGTTCCCTCTGGCTTGCTGACTCAAAGTAAAACAGACTGTAGCAGTAAGCACGGAGAGGGAAGTGTAAGGAAGAACTTCCACTGTGGAATCTTTGAGAGGTCATGGTTTAGGACTTTTTTTCCTCCTCTTTGCCTCGCTTCCTTTTAAGATGATTTAGGGCAAATCAGGACTGAGAGGTTACTGGAAAAGGCCTCCAGACATAGGGACCTAGGGACCTCAGGATGCTTATGGAGGTCAGGAGGGTGTGGGGAACTGTGTGTGTGTGTGTGTGTGTGTGTGTGTGTGTGTGTGTGTGCGCGCGCACGCGTGCAGATGGGGGGCTTAGCTCCTGCGTCTCTCCCCAGGACAGCAGAGCTGGTCACCTCTCATTCTGTACCAAGGTGTGCTATGGCATTGGGGGGATCCCCAACCAGGTGGCCTCCAGCGCCACTGCCTTTTACCTGCAACTCTTCCTGCTTGATGTGGCACAGGTGAGTGTGGACAGCAGCACAGGGCCCCCCATCTTCCTTGGTACCCACTTCTTCCACCCCTACCTGTACTTCACTTGGCAGATGGCATTTCTGTCCCCAACCTGACAGGAAGTCAAGTGCCTTTGAGGGCAACCTCCTCGAGGATGTTTACTGCAGGCTTTTTGTAGTGAAAAATCGGGAAACAATATGAATGCCCAACAGTACAGAAGTAGTTGTATAATAAGTTGTGCAATATCCACATAATGGACTATTCTGTAGCCATTCAAAAGAATGAGCTAGATCCATACCAGTTGACTTGGAGGGATTTCCGTAATGACCCTCAAGTGAGAGAAGTTACTTTGAGAGAACAGGATACAAATTGATCCCATTTTACCAAAACAAAGACACGCCCCATGTATGTAGGTACATGAGTATGTGTATGTGACTATATATGGTTAAAATATAAGCATGGAGAAAATAAATTACAGAAGGATATCTATAGGCTGTTAATGTTGGTTATAGGAGGGAATGGTGGATGGAGGACAGAGGGGAAGCAGAAAAAATATTTCTAATGTAGTACCTATGATTTTTTTTAATGACACTGATACGATCTCATTTAGGTAAAATTATAAATTCTGAATGCACATGAATAAATGCCTGAAAAGGTGATCACCAAAATGCTCTGGCAGTTGTCTCAGGATGGGGGGATTTCAGATGAGCTTTGCTCGTATTTTTCTGTACTGCTTGAATGTTTTTATAACGAGTGTGTCATTTATGTAATCAGAAAAACGAATAAAACATTTACATTGTGAAACAAAAAGCCTACCTCTGTCACCCTTCTTGCACTGAGCCACCTCAGATGAGGGCCCCCAAGGCTCCTCCAGAAGTGGCTGGGCATGAGTGATAACGGGAATGTGCCAGTGTGTGTCAGCTTCTCCCCCCGCCCCTCTCTTCACTAGTGCAGGCGTGCCCTTAGAGCCTTCTGGATTTGTGTCCCTGGAAAGAGACCAAATAGACCTTCACACCACAGTTCTGCCCCCTGCCAGGTCACCAGCACTTTCTCCTGGCAGGTGGGCAGACCCAGACACCCCTCTCTGATGCTGCAGGGCCTTGGCTATCCCCCCCACCTGTGCTTTTCAGATCCCTGCTGCCCAGGTGTCACTTGTCCTGTTTGGAGGAAAGGTGTCTGGGGCAGCTGCTGACCCTGTGGCTGGGTTCTTCATCAACAGAAGTAGGAGGACAGGGTCTGGACGACTCATGCCCTGGTGAGCGGCCCCACAGCCCCACAGATCCTGGCTCCCAGCCCCCGTGGAAAGCCAGTGGATGGTTAGAGGACAGGACAGTAATAGGTGCTGGTACCCAAGTAGGTCAGGCTGAGCCATGCAGGAGTTCAGAGATATTCCTAGGGGCTTTCCCTCACCAGGTGGTGCAGGGCTGGACAAAGCCTCCAAGGCTTCCAGGCCGGATCTAGGGGTCTACTTGTGGCCAGGGTGGGCTGGAGGCCTTGGAAGGCCTGGATACAGAGAATGGGCAAGTGGAGGCCCCAAGTGCCCAGAGTTCTGCAGTGAATGGCCCCACGCTGCAGGCTACCGCCACCTCCCCCACCCCCCCCACCACCCCCTGAGAGCCCCAGCCCAGGGCTCCTCTTGGGGACAGAGGATTTCTGCCCAGAGGGGTGTGGTGGTTCCAGGTTTGCCCTTAGAGTCGCCCTGTCCTGGTGCCCTACCTCGGCTGTGCTTCCACAGGGTGCTGGGCTGTACTCCCTTCATCACGACGGCCTACTTCCTCCTGTGGTTCCTGCCCCCCTTCACCAGCTTGCGGGGCCTCTGGTACACCACCTTCTACTCCCTGTTCCAGGCCCTGGCCACGGTAAGCAAGTGGCTCCCCTGCCCGGGGCCTGGACTCCGGGAACCCCAGAGAGGGCCGTTGGCCACCGTGAAGTCTGTGTGGAGGGGAGAGGGTAGGTGTCCTGGAGGGCCCCGCTGCCGGCACCTGCTCACCGCTCCGGCCCTACGCCCCTTCCTCTGGGCTACAGGGGATCAGCCTGGCCGTGCCAGCCTGCTTCAGGGACCGGCTTGGGCCTGGGGGCTGTGGTCCCGGGCCCCCAGAGGCTGCGTCTGGGCCGCGGGGGCCAGCCTGAGCCCGGCCTGGGCGCCCAGTTCTTCCAGGTGCCCTACGCGGCGCTCACCATGCTCCTGACCCCCTGCCCGAAGGAGCGGGACTCGGCCACCGCGTACCGTGAGTGCGGGCGTGGGATCGGGCGGGAGGCCGCCGCCCGCGGGCCCGCCAGCGCCGGTCACCTAGCGCCGCTCTGCCTCAGGGATGACCATGGAGATGGCGGGGACGTTGATAGGGGCCGCCGTCCACGGCCTCATCGTGTCGGGCGCCCACGGGCTGCACAGGTGCGAGGACGCCGCGCTCCCCGGACCGGTCGCCGTCTCTCCCGACGCGGTGAGTGCCCACGCCACCATGTCCTCGCTCGCTTCTCGCTCCCTCCCGCTCCTCCGGCGGGACTCGGCGTCCTGCCTCCCTCTAAAGCAGACCAGCAGGAGGGGAGAGGGATGGAGAGAGAACACAGGCAGGGAGGGGCAGGGGATAGGGTCTGACGTCCCTGCAGAGCTTGGGAGGAAGCGTCTCCTGTGGCCTGTCCCACTCAGCCCTGACTAGGTGGCCCCCACCGCCAGCCTCACCCCTGGTGTGCAAGGACAAGGGAGACCTGGGAGAAGTCCCCCTTCCTCTCCCTGCAAACCAGATCTCTCTTCAGCAACTAAGGGACATGCATCTATTTTATCCATCAAGTTCAGCGACTTTTCCCTTGAGCAAGTGATACCATTATCCAGCAGAACCCCAGGAGCCATCATTTAGTGCTCTCTCTTCCACCGTTACCCCCGCTCCAGCCCATTACCAACTCCTCTCCGTGTTTGAGGCTGCAGATCTGGAATCGGGTCATGACCTTGCATCCCCAACTGCTCCAGCCTGGCCCACACACCAACATCTCCCCGGTCACCCCAGTATTGCAACAGCTTCCCACACGGGCACCCCAGCCTCCAGCCCTTCCCCCAGCACAGTCAGGTGGCCATTGTAAAGGAGTTCCAGCATGGGTGGCCCTCACCTTCAGGTCCTGGCACAGGTTGCTCCTCCCCGGGTTTGCTTTTCTCTGCATCTTTCTTGTTTGCCAGCTCGTTTAATAAATACGTCAGATTTAGCAAAAAAAATTATACAGCTCTGGTTCTCAAAGTGTGGTCCCTGGACAGCAGCAGCAGCAGCAGCAGCAGCACCTGGAAACTTGTTAGAAAGGCAAATCTTGGGCCCCACCCCGATTTACAAATTTTGGGAGGAGGCCAGCAGTCCATATTTGAACAAGCCCTCCAGGGGATTCTGCCCCCCACCCGGGCTTGAGAATCAATGGGAGGAGAATAGTAGCACATCTTGGCCCAGCACCCACTGAAGAGACATGACGATGAAGTCCCATGTTTCCATCCCCAGACCCATCTGCAGGGCCAGCTACGAAATTTGCCTTTTACAGTGCAAAATGAAAACAGGGGGCTCCAGAGACAGCAGGGAAGTCAGTCTGTCCTTCCCGTGGCCCACCGCCCTAACCAAGGGATTGTTTGGGTCCAGGTGCATGAGGGGCCCCACCAAGTTGCCCTCAGGCTCACGATGCTGCCAGCTGAGGGTCAGAGGTGGTGGCCTTGCCCCTCCCAGACTGACTCCACCCACATGCATGTTCACCCCCCACTCAGGCCTCCACAGGCCCCCTCCCCAAAGGTACCAGGTCACTCTCTGGGTGCCGATGACAGGGGCCTTGGGTTGGCCTGGCCTAAAGTGCAAAGGAATGGGAAGCAGGAGGCTGAGACCCCACCCCCAGGAGGTGGAGCCTCATGTGAGCCAAAGCACAAAGCTTCAGGTACGTCGAGTCACGCTGTACCATCCCATCAGACTTCACTCACAAAACACGAATTCATAGATAAAATGATCAAGCAGTTCAAGACGGCGACAGCAGAGCATTAACGCCTACCCCAGCACCGTCCTGAATGTGGGGTCCTGTGCAACTGTGCTGAGCCCACCCAAGCCTGCCTCCTTCTTTCTTCCCTTCCCCAGAGGCAACCTTTTCCTGTAGCAGGTGACTGTTACTCCTGTGCATGTCTACATATATTTTATTACTTGTATATCTTCCCCTGGTGACAGGGAGCACTGTTTCTGTTGTTGACATTTGTCTGTGTCATTGTGAGTCACACTATATTGTAACTGTTGGCTCATGAGTCTGTCTTCCACACTCGAAGCAGGAGTCACTTATTCACCACTGTAACCTCAGGGTCTAGCTTGCAGAAGTCCCAGCAATAAATCTGTGCCTTAAAAAATGAGAGAGACCAGGGGCGCCTGGGTGGCGCAGTTGGTTAAGCGTCCGACTTCAGCCAGGTCACGATTTCGCGGTCCGTGAGTTCGAGCCCCGCGTCAGGCTCTGCGCTGATGGCTCAGAGCCTGGAGCCTGTTTCCGATTCTGTGTCTCCCTCTCTCTCTGCCCCTCCCCCGTTCATGCTCTGTCTCTCTCTGTCCCAAAAATAAATAAACGTTAAAAAAAAAAAATTAAAAAAAAAAATGAGAGAGACGGAGAGAGGAAGGGCTCAGACCCTTGGTGGCATGGATGCCCTCCTATTCACGCAGGAGCCACAGGCGCAGCAGAAGGACCATTCTGGGCCCTGAGATCTCCATCTCCTGCTGTGGTGATTGGGAGGAGGGGCACCCAGCATCCTTGGGCTTGGGCTGAGGGTCCCTCTGCCCCCATCGGGGTGTCCCCTCTTCCGTAGGTGGGAGACATCACCTCCACCCCAGTTCTGTCCTGTCCCATAGACTCGTCTCTACTCCATTGCCTCCGCTGTGGTTGCTGTGACCTACCCTGTGTGCAGTAGTTTGCTCTGCCTAGGGGTGAAGGAGCGACCAGGTAAGGGAGTGCAGTCAGAGTGTGGGAAGCAGAAGCAGGGACAGGACTCCTCTGGGGCGTGGGTTTTGGTTTTGAACTCTGCCAAGCCCAAGTGTCACTTTCCTGTGTCGCAGGCTCCTCCGTCCCAGCCTCAGGCCCAGGCCCGAGCTTCCTGGCTGGGCTGGTGCTCACTGTCCGGCACCCACCTTACCTGAAGCTGGTCATCTCCTTCCTGTTCATCTCAGCAGCCATTCAGGTACCTCTGGCCTTGGCTCTAGCCATACTGCCCTGTGTATGTTTGGCTTCGGTCTCCCGGCTCCACCAACCAGAGTTGGGCTTTAATAGGGAGAAATGGTGGCTGGCACGGGGCCTAGGGAGTTTGGTGCAAGGAGGAGAGAGACCTGGACAGAGCTTGTGGGGCTGGGAGGGTCAGGGCCCCGATGCCAGGAAGCTGACAGAATCTGCGTGGTGAGGTCCACTAGCCAGGCAAGAGTGAGGAGGGACTAGGAATGGTTATTCATCCCTGTGTCAGGGCTAAGTGTCCTCTGTGGGGGAGGGGATTGCGTGATGGCAGCAGCAACCCGTATTCGAGGTCCCAAAGAAGAGGCCAGACTTGAGACCTAGGCCTTGCCCTTGACTTCTGAGTTCCTGCCGTTCCCTATGCAAGCCTACTGCCTGTTGGTCTCCTCAGGTGGAGCAGAGCTACCTGGTCCTGTTCTGTACACATGCCTCCCGGCTACATGACCATGTCCAGGGCGTGGTGCTAACCATCCTGGTGAGTGGTCCTGAGGTGGCAGAGGCAAGGTCAGTCAGGGGCCTAGGTTGGGGAACTATGTGGTCCTTGACAAGACATGGCATAGCCGGAATTCTGGTCAACATTCTGGACTCTGCTGCGATCTTAGTCACCTGCGCTCCAGCAGAGGGTGGGATTGGGTCTGGGGTCATAAAGTTCATAGCCACTGGTTCCAATCTGGGGGCAAAGTGGAGTTCGAGCATCCCACCTAAAAGCCAGGGCTTCTGGAACCTGGGTGGGTAAAGACATTGGCAGCACGGCCCGGACTGGGATGATTCTGTCTGTTCACAGGTCTCAGCTGTGCTGAGCACGCCGCTGTGGGAATGGGTTCTACAGCGATTTGGGAAGAAGACATCAGCCTTTGGGATCTGTGTGAGTGAGGCAGGAAGCAAGGGCCGAGGTGCCTTCAGGGAAGGTGGTGGGGTCAGGGAAGTGGCCTTGGAGCCTCGGCCTCCTGGGAGCTGGCAGGGCTGATCTGTATTTGTCTTCCATCCCTAGCAAAGGACCAGGTGCAGGGTCATTAGTAAAGACAGGTGAATGTGGGACTGAAAGAGCAAGTCTGGGGCAGGTGGAGGGATCAGCTAGTGTATCTATCTCCCCAGGTGATGGTGCCTTTTGCAATCCTGTTGGCTGCTGTGCCCACAGCACCTGTGGCATATGTGGTGGCCTTTGTATCTGGCATGAGCATTTCTGTGTCCTTGCTGCTACCCTGGTAGGCTGGGTGAGGGGGAGGGGTGGGAGCATCATGTCCTTCCTCATGGGTGTGTCCTCTTTCACATCCACCTGTTGTCCCAGGCCCCCTGTGCCCACCCTGTGCTGGGTAGGGCCCTCCCACCTGCAGGAGACGGAGGCCACCAGCTCAGTCGCTGGAGCTCTCCTGAAAGAGCACCAGACAGCAGGAACAGTGGGCAGCTGTGTTGGGGGAAGGGAGGAAACGCAAGCACACATATTGCCTGGCTCCCTGTGGGCCACTCCTGGTCCTGGGCAGCAGGAACCCAAGGATGGATCCGATTTGGTCTCTGTCCCCGGAAAGCTCTCGGGTTGATGGCTACCAGGGGACAAAAGGGGTAATTCTGCAGCCCCTTCCCCCAGGTCCATGCTTCCAGATGTGGTGGATGACTTCCAGCTGCAGCACCAGCACGGCCCAGGCCTGGAGACCATCTTCTACTCATCCTATGTCTTCTTCTCCAAGCTTTCTGGTGCAGGCGCCCTGGGCATCTCCACTCTCAGTCTGGAGTGAGTCCCAGGGCTGGACTGTACTAGAGGCACAAAAGACTAACTCCCACTGGAGTGGGAGGAAGAGGGCAGAGTTCTCCACCCTAATGGGCCAGGGGACACCCATGAGTCAGGGACCCAAGCTCTGCTCTTTAGAGAGTGTAGGGGAGCCACCTGCCTCAGGTTGCCCTGTGCACATGACTGAGAGGGGTCTTTCTTGGGGGCTGTACCCCACATTCTTAGTTTTGTCTGAGCTCCTCCCTGGCCAGCCCATTCTCTCAACTCTCCCTTCCGCCATGATCAGGCTGATCTGGCCAGGAAGTGAATCCAAATTTCAGGGTAGTGTGGGGGTGGGGTATCTGGGACCCCTCCTGCTGGGAGCCGGGCTCCGTGAGATCTGAGCTGGATGCGTGGGATGCTGTGTCTCCAGGTTTGCGGGGTATGAGGCAGGAGCCTGCAAGCAGGCGGAGCAGGTGGTGGTGACCCTCAAGGTCCTCATCGGCGCCGTGCCCACCTGCATGATCCTCACCGGTCTGTGCATCCTCATGGTCAGCCCCACTCCAAAGGTGCCCAGCCAGAACTCCTCCCACCGGCTGAGCCTTCAGAGGTGGGCACCCCATGCACACGGGTACACACGGCAGGGAAGCACAAACATCCACTGGTGTGAGGTTGACCGGTTGGCAGGTGCCCCGAGACACGTACACAGTTGAGCACTCCTGCTTCTGCAGACTCTGCACTTAGCTTTGGTGATGCCATCTTCTCCTGGATTTTCTTCAGCTGCTTTGCTCATCCCTTCTCAGTCTCCCTCCCTCGATTACCTGTCGGAGGGTGGTGTGGAAGGGCTCCCTTCTCGGCCCCTGCCCCCCTCACCTCATCCACTTGCTTGATCTCAAGCACCTCTTGTGCCCGGTGACTCCTAAAGCTGCCCCTCCCCCCCGGACTTCCTTCAAGTTCCGGAACCACATGGCGGGCTCTGATTTGCACATCTCCTCCTGATGTCCCACCAGCGTGGAGTTAGTTTTGATGAGCCCCGAACTGCCGAACTCATCTTCTTCCCCCATTAGGCTCCTCCTCCTGTGATGGCACCATCCTCTAGCCTGGGAGCTGAAAGCTGGGTTGTCTTCTACTCTTTCCCCCACAGGTTGTGCCGAGCCACTCCCTGAGCCTTGTCCTTCCCACTTCCGAGCACTGATCCCTCCGCACAGGGATGAGATACCCACTGGCTGGCCTTCCCAGTGGACTGTGGGGGATCTGGACGGCTAGGGCTGTGTTTTATTCACTTCCGTGTACCAAGCCCAGCACAGGGGCCAAGGCCAAGCTGGTGCTGCAGCGTCAACACGTCTGGCCCAGTGGCTTTCACGAGCACGTGGCCGCATTTTTGGAGATGCTCACACACTCAGAACTTTGAGCACGTGTGCATACAGAGGACTGTACAGGATTGGCAGGAAGTGGCATTGTCATCCATCCCTCATTCTCAGCGTGGACGGCTCAGACTTGGGCTGAGTAACACTGAGATCACATGTCACACTCGGAGTGACATGCACATGGGGAACTGCTGGGGGGATTTGGGGAAACAAGGGCTATAGATTTTCCCAAGGGGCTGTGAAGGGGAGGAGTTGCTAGGACGGCAGGGACCCGCCACTTCCATCGGGCGTAGGGTCTATGGCAGGACAGAGTCCCCTTCCACCCTCATCTTTCTCTTTGGCCCCTTTTCCTTTTACAGGCGGACCAGCTACACCCTTGCTTGAAGTCTGAGCTTGCATGGGCTGGAACAGCAGGAGCCAGCATCTTCTGGGCTCGACGTTCCTCTTTCTTCTCGGCCCCTTAGCATACTTACTTCGAAGGTTACATGCGACCCATCTTTTCCCCTGGGATATGGAGTCTTCAGTGACATCTCCTGAAGGGACCAGCCTGGTCTCCAGTTCCCTCAGCCGTCATTTCTTGCCTGTTGACCACAGACCAGGTCAGATAGGCCTGTGCCCCTGACCACCCAGCTCCAGGTAACCTTGACCTGGGAAGCATCCCAATAGCAGCTATTCCTGGAAAAAGGAAGCCCACAACCTGCTCACCCAACAGGACAGACACACAGACCTCTTGTTCCTCCTAATACTCCAGTAGACATCGGAGAGAGAGGCTGACAGACATCGCACGAATGGGCAGAGTGGGGACAGATGGACATGCTGGTGATGTCACGAAAAGAGACACAGACAGATGCACTGAGGCCAACAGACCCCAGAGGGAGCACATGGGGACAGCAGTGGGGTGAGGAGACCGAGCAGGCCGCCAGAGGCGTTTCTCAAGCCTTTCTCTTTTGTTCAGATAACACTGTTTCTGGAAATGGACACAGGCCGATATGGAGCCATCAAAGATCAATCATTTTTATGAACAAAAGTTCTTTTTGTGGAAATATTTTTTTGAAATGGTATCTTATAAAAAGCACAGGGACCACAGTTTTCTAAAGGCCATATCTTTGAGGAAGAAAGATCCACTGAGGTTTATTTTTTCAAAAAAAAAAATTAAAAGGTTTATCTTCTATTGATTCTGTAAAATATGACTGTGGCTAGCCCTCTCATCCCACCTCCTGGGAAACCACTGCCCAAGGAGGGAAGGGGGAGGGTGCCTGACGTCACTGCCCCTGGCTGTGTGTCCTCAGCCGTATATCCCTGATTCTGCATTTCCTCAGGCCAGAGATGCCACGTGGGACATGGGTTCCGCCTTTGCTTTGGAGGAGATAAAAAGTTGAGACTCTAGAGTAGTCAGGGTAGCAGGCCACAGTGGCTTGTGTGGGCTGGGGATGGGCGGCGGGGGCGGGGGGGGGGTTGCTGCAGAGGTGTTGGGGAACCCATGGGGGTTCTGATGCCCCAGCAACTCCTTGAAAAGCCCAGACACCTAAAGAGGTGACCAGGAGGTGCAGACTTGCCCCCTGCATTTCTCCCCAGCCCCCTGCTCTGTCCCCTCCATGGGGTCAGCTTTCCCAAGCCCACCGAGCAGGGGTAGGCCCCCTTCCACTTCCTCTTTAGAGCTTTGACTGCCTCTTAGGTTCCAGAGTCACCCCTAACACTGCCGGAGCTCAGACTCACATTCAGGGATGGTCTGCCCCTCAAAGCATGAAACGCCTTGCTTCTTCCACAAACGTTGTAGCCCGAGAAGGAACCTGACCTCAGAGTGAGAGTACACAGTGCGACCTGGTCTATATGATGCCTGAACTCTCTGCCCTTGCTTGTGACACTGACATGGGTAGGTGATCATTGAGGTCACAGGGCGTCAGGGAAAGAGCTGGGTTCAGCTTCTCTTCGTTGGCCATCTGCCTAAGGGGCTGCCAGGAAGCTCTGCTCACCCCTGGCTGCACGAGGAGACACACACACACACACACACAAACACACACAACCAGTTTCTCAACAATGGAAAATCACTGGCTGTGGGAAACAGTACCTGCTAAGACAGAAGGCAAGGTAAAATTTCTCCCATGTTATCATGCCATGCTTTGGAAAGATGGGCAATTCAGGTAGGATCAGAAGCTTGTGCCGAGTTCTGTTACCTGTTTCCCAGGAGTGCAGCCTCAAGCAGAACTGTACTGTCCAAATACAGCTGCAGGGGGCCACCTCTGGGGTCAGGGGTTAGATGACCAGGGGCTGCCTAAAATGTATTATTCCATTTCTCCCTCACAGCAGTGCTACGAAGTGGGTACTATTATTCTCATTCTCAGGTGAGGAAACAGGCTGGGATTAAGTAACTTGCCTAAGGTCAGTTGGTGGCAAAAATGGCCTTGAACCTAAGTGGGCCTGACTCTAAAGCTTGTGGAGACAGCCAGTGCTGGAAACATTTGTTGGAGGAACAGCTGATGGCCAGACTTTGGTACCAGGAGGACCTCTCCTCCTCTGAAACCAAATGCCAGCATGCCCACCTCGGACTCTATGCTCCGATCCCACGGTATTATCTGTACTCATCGAGAATTATTCCTGACTCAACCCGTTATTCCTACTCTGGATCCTTTGACTCACATTTGCCCACAGGGCCTCCCCTTGTGTCCCTGTCCCTCTTCTGACACCCACCCTCAGAGGCAGTCCTCCTGTTTCAGAGAAAGAGGATGTCTGCTCACCACTAAGGCCCAGCCCTGGGCCTATTGCTGACAAAGAGTAGGCATCTCACTCACCCCTTCCCTCTCTGCTACCTTTTCCAAACCCACTTAAATCCAAGAGATCATGCCACTCACTTGCTCAAGACCCACAAGACCGGGGGCTGCTCAAATGTCACTTCTGGGACAGAGAGACCTTTCCTGCACTCCTGCTCTCCCCTAGTGACCGTTCTGCATTCCAGCACTCTCTAAGCTCTCCCTGCTTTGCCTGTGCTTAGTAGACCTACCTCCATATACAATTGTGTATTTATCAATTGCTTACTTATTGCTGGCCGCCCCCACTAAAACGTTAAACGTCACGAGGCCAAACGTCATGAGGACGTTGGCTCTTCCTGCTGGATCCTCAGTGCCTGGAAGTAAATGTTCAATATGCATAAATGTCTACTGAATGAACAAGTGAATGTTTATATCAGCTTTATCCTGAAACAGACAAAAATCACCTTTCCTCGTTCCCTTAGCTTCCACCTGTCCAAACAATCTGCTTCGCTCTTCTCCCCCAGCCCCCCGCCACCGTAGTGTTGTCCCCTTGTCCCCACCTGCCATTCCCCCCTCAACTCCTTAAACCTGGACTCTGCCTTCCTATGGAGACCATGCAGCTCAGCACTGTCAAAGGTCAACTCCAGCATCAGAGAAAAGGAAATGGGGGTTCGTATTGTTTACTTGTGTGACTCATCAACTTCTGTAACAAACCTGAGCCTGTTTCCTTTTTGAAAGGAATGTGTTAGCCATTACCTCTGGATGGCCATGAGGATTAAGTGTGAGATCATATCTGACCAGGGAAACCCTCAGTGACTGGTAGCCCTTAAATGCTGGCCACTCATTTTCAAAACTCCATCCTCCCTTGGCCTACATGATGCACCTTCCCCCTTAGCCTCCACCATCTCTGGCCCTTCATTTTCTGTCTTTTCCTTTGCTTCTTCTTCCTTTGATGCTCTGTAGGTGTCTCAGGCTTCCCAGGGCCATGTGATCTCACTCACAAACACCTTTATTTTTATTTATTCTTTGAGAGAAAAGAGAGAGCACAAGCAGGGGAGGGTACAGTGGGCAGAGGAAGAGAGAGAATTTTAAGCAGGCTCTACGCCCAGTGCTGAGCCCTACATGGGGCTTGATCTTGTGACCATGAGATCATGACCTGAGCCGAAAGCAACAGTCGGAAGCTTAACCGACTGAGCCAGCCAGATGCCCCTCAATCACTATCACCGTTACACCTCTCTATTTTAACCCTGAGCTCTGCTGAACTTCAGAAGCCCATCTGAGTGTTCTTCAGGCAGTTAAAACATCCTCAAGCGGAACTCATCACCTCCCACGCTTGTTCCACCTCCTGCATTTTTGGTAAATTATGTCAGCATCTATCAGGTCACCAAAACCAAAAACTTGGGGTCTTCTTAGTTTTCTTTCTTCCCCATTCGCGCTGCTGCGCCCTTCCTGTGCACACGGAGTGTGGATGAAGCAATGGGAGGAAAGGGTTGCAGCTTGTATGTTATTATCAAATGGCAGAAGTTATTTGAAATTGGATAGAAAGTTGTAGCCCCAGAAATGGATGGGTTTGGCTCATAACACACACGGTGACACAGCTGCTTGTGAGATGTTTGAGGTGTGTATGTGTGTGCGTTTGCGTACTCCTATGGGACTTCTTCGTTCTGCTGGGTATTTTTCTGTGTCTCTTAAGGACAAAACTGGTGCAGAAGCAAGGAAATTCAGGTTATGCTCAAATTGTTCTTTAATATAGCAATTGTGTTGGAACAAATTTGTGTTTTCTTTTTTTTTTTTTTAATTTTTTTTTTCAACGTTTTTATTTATTTTTGGGACAGAGAGAGACAGAGCATGAACGGGGGAGGGGCAGAGAGAGAGGGAGACACAGAATCGGAAACAGGCTCCAGGCTCCGAGCCGTCAGCCCAGAGCCTGACGCGGGGCTCGAACTCACGGACCGCGAGATCGTGACCTGGCTGAAGCCGGACGCTTAACCGACTGCGCCACCCAGGCGCCCCAAATTTGTGTTTTCAAAACAAGCATTATAGAAGAACTGAGTGTATACGTGTGAGTGTAAACAACAGAAATCCTAAATGATCTCATAAATATTCAAGGAATGAAATACATATTATAAAGCATTCACACACACATATACACCCAAACCACGAGATTCAAATGATTTTACCAAGTGCTATCAAACTTTTTATCAAGGATCATTTCATAGCTTATGAAAACTTTTCCAGGGAATAGAAAAAGGGCAAACTCTACAACTCATTGTATCAGGCCAGAATAAGTTTAATACCAAAACCAGACAAGAAAAGTAAAAATGAAAGGAAATTTACAGGCTAACCTTAAAGGATTAAAAGAGCACAGAACATAGAAGCAAGAATCTGAAACAAAATACTAGTAAACTAAGGGGCTCCTAGGTGGCTCAGTCAGTTAAGTGTCCAACTTCGGCTCTGGTCATGATTTCATAGTTTGTGGGTTCAAGCCCTGCATTGGGCGCTGTGTTGTCAGCTTGGAGCCTGGAGCCTGCTTCAGATTGTGCCTCCCTCTCTCTCTGCCCCTCCTCACTCATGCTCTGTCTCTCAAGAATAAATATTTTAAAAAATAATAATAATAAAAAAAAAAAGAAAAATCTGTCCAGTGAAATTCACCACATTAATAAAGGAGGAAAAAAATTATGATCTCAATAGATACAGAATCATTTAATAAAAAGCTAATATTCATTCATGATAAAAGTACTAAGCAAACCAAGAGGAAAAGGACATTTTTTTTGAAGTTTATTTTGAGAGAGAGAGCCTACGCACACACAGGCCAGCATGGGGGACAGGGGTGCAGAGAGAGGGGTAGAGAGAGAGAGAGAATCCCAGGCAGGGTCTGCACTACCACCACAGAGCCTGATGCAGGCAGGGCTTGAACTCACAAACCATGAGATCATGACCTGAGCCGAAATCAAGAGTCAGATGCTTAACCTACTGAGCCACCCAAGCACCACAAGTAGAGATTTTTAAACCTGAGTAAGGCTATCTACCAAAAACCTATAGCAAACATTCTTAATGGTGAAATATGTCACCTAGTGGTAAAATGTTAATGATGAAATAGTCCCTTTAAAATCAGGAATAAGGGAAGGATTACTCACTATCAATGCTTCTGTTCAACACTTCATCAGGGGATCTAGCTAGTGCAGTAAGGTAACAGTATAATAATTAGAAAGGAAGAAACAAAATTGTCATTATTTATAAATGATATGATTACCTACTTAGAAAACCCAAAAGGACCTACAGATACATTATTAGAATAAGAGAGCACAGCAAGGTAGCTGGACATAAAATTAACAAAATTACATTTTTATATTCCAGCAACAGTTATAGAACATAATTTTTAAACAGTAGCAACAAAAAATATAAAGTACCTAGAAATAAATGAACAAGATGTGGAAAGACTTGCTCTTGGCCGTGATGGAGTAGTAAAGACCAGATCCAGCCTCTCAGTTGAAGTGATTAAAAACGACTGGTCTGCATATATGAAATAAGTCTTCAAGACTTATTCAAGTTTCAAGGCAATGAAGGAGGAATCTCTGAGAGATGGGAAATAAATGAGGCGATCTTAGGGATTGCCTTGAGGGTTCCCAGATGACCGTGTAGAGCACCATTTGGAGCCCAGAGGACTCTGAGCTGAGAAGGTGAGTTTGGGGAGACCAAAGTGGCTAGAGTTTGCAGGACAGAGTATTGTAGAGGAGTAAGCTACACAGAGCGAAAGAGGATTCCCCTCAAGTACCCAACAGGATGTTGATTAAAGAAATAAATGTGAAAGTTGCAGAAGACTATACACAATATAATGCCATTGTATAAGGCTCCAAAACAAGGGGAAATACAGACTATTGTTTAGGGCAATATGTACATGTGGTTGTGGTGAAAAAGACAAGGAATGAGGAAATGATAATTACAACAATCAAGACATTAGTTACCTCTGGGGTGGAACTGTCTCTACGGAGAAGGATCCAGAATGGTTTCTAGTAATGTTCTGGTTCTTACATTACGTGGTGGGTGGTTCATTTTATTATTAAGCCTTCCTATACTTCACATCTATTGCGTGTATCAAATAATAAATACCTGTACAAAATTCAGAAAAAATTGGGCACGAAGATTTGTAAAGAATGCCTTTCCTTATGCAAAATATTCTCAACATGACATTGAACAATAGTTAAAAGATGACAACTCTTCTTTCCCTGTTTCTAAAGCCAGCAAGTACTGGATTATCTTCTATTGTTCCAATGACTATAATAATAGCAGAGGCCAAGGAGACGTCTTTTGTAGGAGAGTTGTCATGGAATCAGATTTGTGATAAAGAAATAAATAATTTATATGCCAGACTGTCCGCCAGAAGAAATACAGAGACAACATCCACAAACAAAAAATCAAGAACTTTTCTTTATACCGGCAATAATCACAAAGAAAATACCATCAAAACATTCACAACAGTCGCATCAACCATTAGTGATTTTATTGACTCATTTACAGGACTCTGACCAGGGAAATGGTGAACATAACATATACTTTGAGGCACCCACATTGATCTTACTACAGGGTCCCCAGGCCCCCTCTGCAGGCTTCATAATAGTGTACTTTCATCCCATGCAGACACTTCCTCTACAAATGCAGCCAGGCCTCAGACTGGCTGCTCTCAGCCACTGCTCTCAGGCTACTGATTACAGACCAGCAGCCTCCGCTTCCATTATCCCAGCAGCTGCCTAATGCATCTGAACCACAAAATGGGCCCTCGCTTCTTTCTTATCCCAGCTCCATCTTCATAAAGGGTAACAGACAGACAGAAGTCCCCAAGGGCACAAAATCTTTCTTTCCAGACAATTTTAAAGGAAAGTGGGGAGAAAGATGCATATGTGCTAATGGAACCTCTATGGCTGAAACAATTTATCTGCAGATGTGCCCTGACTAGCCACACAGCCATCAATCTGTTGTGCTGCCGTCACTGAAATTTATGATTCTGCGTGAGAGGTGATGTGTCTATCTGAAGTTGCAGTCAGGGCTCTTTCCACTTTACTAAGGTGGCACTTGAGCCCGTAATTATAATAAGCTCGTACTTCTACCCACCTTAGATTCAGTGAAATTTCCAATTTTCTGAACTACTTTCTCTCACAGACTCCGTGCTGGTCTCTAAGACCTGAATGGAGGGAAAAGAAAAACATCAAAATTAAAGTGACAATGTAACTAAGGGAGTGTACTGGGAGAAAAACAGGACATTTTTATGATCCCCAAACTGGGGGATGGGGGGGTGAAGCATTTCAGGGAGAAAATCAGGAGGAGTGACAGCATAGAATCATGCCTCTGACCTCTGTGCTAGGCATTGCACTATTGACACACGCACACGCTCAGGTGGGGTCCAGAGGGATCACAGCATTTGAAATTTCATTTGAAATCTGCTAGGACTAGTTTTTAGGAGTATCTAGACCATAGTTAGCCAGAATTTTTTAAGGAAGCATAGGTTTAAATCCTGGCAGGTCCAGCCAACATCAGAACGACTTCCTGTTCTAGGTAGCGCTGGGCACAGAAGTCAGTTGATTTTTTTGGTCTTCTTTTGAGCTCTGCTGATTCCTGCTGGTTTGGGGTAAACAGGACATGCTGGAGCATATGTTCTCTGGTACCTCTTGCTCTCATCAGCCAAGGAAATGATCTATAACAATGCCGAAGTACCTTTTAAGTGCTTCTAAGACAGCTTTAACGGTTTTGGGCAAGGGACAGAAAGCCTCAGAGAAACCATAAAACACAATCCATATGGCACCATAATATTGTTTTGTTCTGGGAATTCTGCCCTTAGACAAAACCACACGGTCATGAATACATAAACAACCACTTTTTGAGCCATCTAACAAAGACTGAGCTCTGCTACAGAGCAGTGAGCCTCAGCCTGGGGGAAATGGGGGGCAAGTGGCCAAGCCAACCATGGCACGTGCTTCACTTCTGAGCGACAATGCAAATCCCGGCTGAGAAGAGTCCATGGTGGAAGACAGATCTTGTCTGTAATGGCCTCATCTGAAAAGCTATGCAGCAAATAACTCTGCAAACAAGTATCAGGCCAGGGCACCAGGGTGGCTCTGTTGGTTGAGAGCCCGACTCTTGACTTCGGCTCAGGTCATGATCTCATGGTTTGTGGGTTTGGGACCTGTGTCGGGCTGTGTGCTGACAGCAGCAGAGCCTGCCTGGGATTCTCTCTCTCTCTCTCTCTCAAAAAAAAAAAAAAAAAAAAAAAAAAAAAAAAAAAAAAAAGGTATCAGGCCATACTGCCTAAATGGGTAGGACAGCTGGTGGCATCTACACTTTGGACACTAAGCTCTCTATAGACTTCGAGAGAAGGACCAGGATTAAGACTCTGAGGCAGAGTCTCTGAAGACATTTGAGCTGCCATCTCTTATGGTTATTTCCTGAGTGGTTGTGAAAGTTAACGGGATGAAGCCTTCGCTATCAGCACAGAGAAGGATCCAGTGTGAGTCTGCAAAGTGAAATAAACACATATGTAATTTAGAATATCTCATTCTTTAAAGAAAAATAAGACAAATACTTTTTTGAGAGTAAGAATCCAGTAGTTGGTAATACTGAACCTGATTATCACACGGATGGGAATGGGAAGCTGGAAGGACTGAGTCCTACTTAGGGTGAGGTCATTGATGACTTAGGCATAGCTAGGGGACATCCACTTTTACCCAGGCTAGGCATTTATCACTTAGTGCTATGCATATGAGTGTGTATGTAGTGCACACGTTGTTAGGGGTTGTGTGTGGAGTGTCCCTATCTACACGCTCGTAAGCAATTTCTCCAGAAACTATGTGAAGGTGGGAACAGTTACTCTCTGGAGGAAGCTTTATTCTTTAGGTTCATACCAACCTCTAGACAGCTTAGGAGGCTGAGCCGACTGCAGATAGACTAGAATGGTCCAGATAATCCTGAATGGTTTGTTCTGGGGTAACCTAGGGCCAGTAGCATAACACAAGCCTGTGACCTTCTCTGGTTCTTTCAGATGTACTGTGCCTCACTTCTGAAAATTTCACTTCTGAAAATCTATACTTTCCAAAAACAACATGTAAAATATGCAGAGAGGTCTTTATTAGTGCTATTGATGATGCTGAAAATTGGAAACCACTTAAATGCCAAAGAAAATATGGCAAAGTACAATATGGTACACCCAGAATGGAATATTAACCCCACCCAGGACAAATGACAATTATGATGTCATATCACAGATGCATGTGTCAAAACAGGAAAAAGCTGATGCTGACATATTAAGGGGGAGAAAAAAATGAAACAAATTCCATGTTCAATGTGGTGGTGGCTTCCATTAAAAGAATGAGGCATAAAAAAACCATCCTGTGCACCTGATGGTACGGGTATGACTCAGTCCTCTGGCATTTGGGAATGGCCTTCACATCCACATGTTTGCTGCCTATTGAAACGACACCTCCTGTAAGAAATGCTGCTATGACCTTTATGTTTAGTGTAACAGGTATATATGAGGTTTTTCTGTCATTTCTTCGCAGCTATTATACATTGCTTTGTAACTCTTTTCTAGTTTTTTCCTGTGTACATTTAGGTCTTCCAGCTAGAATATATATGTAAGTTCCTTAAGGGCAGAACCCATATTTTCTATAGCCTTGGGTATATAGTAGACAATTAACAATACCTAATTATCTAGTGAACCACTGAATGGTTCGTTATCAATGAAAATTACAAAGTTACAAAACAAAAAATGGTAGAGGGAGGGGGTGTGGGGTAGAGTCAATTTCTGAATTTTACCTACCATGGAGCATTTCAATAAGAGAGAGGCCAAAAGTCTGCTGAACTGTACTGAGCCTTAGTTTGCCATTGCAGAGAAGCACAGCTCTTTTTTCAACAACAGGACCTACATAATGAAATTTCTTCAGATATAAAAATAAAAGTTGTTAAACTGATTGCAGAAGCAACAAAGTTAACATTTCTTAAAACTAGAATGTGTAAGTAGTTTTTTTTTTAAATCCTATTTACTATTACTCTAACTAAACCAGTTGTAAATAAGGAGATTTTGGCTACATTATTTAACATAACAAAAAGATTCGATCCCAAAATATTTATGGCTTAAATACCATGACATCCCTACTTAAAGTATTTTAGGAAATTGTTAAAAAAAAAAAAAATGAAGCAATAGGGGTGCCTGGGTGGCTCAGCTGGTTGGGTGGCTGACTTTGGCTCAGGTCACGATCTCACGGTTCGTGAGTTCGAGCCCTGCGTCAGGCTCTGTGCTGACAGCTCAGAGCCTGGAGTCTGCTGTCTCTCTCTCAAAAATAAATAAAGATTTAAAAGAAAAATTAAAAAAAAAATGAAGCCATTATGGCAAAATATTAACAAGAGTTAAATCCAGATGATAGGTATAAAAGATTTCGTTTAGTCTTTCTTTATGTTTACAATTTTTCATAATAAAAAATTTTAATTATTTTAAACTATTCTTTGGTTCTTTTAAAAACCTACATCCTGGGGTGCCTGGATGGCTCAGTCAGTTAACTGTCTGACTCTTGGTCTCGGCTCCAGTCATGATCTCATGGTCATAAGATCAAGCCCGCTCGGCACTGACAGCACAGAGACTGCTTAGAATTCTCTCCTTACCCCCTCCCCCTCAAAATAAACATTAAAAATAAAGAAACAAAAAATAAACTTATACTTTTGAGTTGGTCCAAGAGTAGTAGTTTTAAGAAAAAACTAATTAAGGGGCGCCTTGGTGGCTCAGTCAGTTGAGCATCAGACTTCGGCTCAGGTCATGATCTCACAGTTCATGAGTTCAAACCCCATGTCGGGCTCTGTGCTGACAGCTCAGAGCCTGGAGCCTGCTTCAAATTCTGTGTCTCCCTCTCTCTCTGTACCTCTCCTGCCACTCATGCTCTCTCTCTCTCTCTCAAAAATAAATAAACATTAAAAAAATTTTTTTAAAAACTAATTAAAAGACCTCTCTTAACTATTAGATAATAACTTACATATTAATTATCAATGATTTCAATACCAACTTTCTGCAAATATCTTTTAAAATGAAGATATAAAAGTCCACAATCAAATCAGTGTGATATTGGTAAAGTTCTAGATAAAGAGATCAGCATTATAGTAGTTACAATATGGAGAATTCAGAATTAGATCCCAGTACATATAAGTTTATATATGACAAATGTGTTAGATCAAGTTCAGTGGGATTAAAGATGGATTCTTTTTTAAAACAATTTTTTTTCAACGTTTATTTATTTTTGGGACAGAGAGAGACACAGCATGAATGGGGGAGGGGCAGAGAGAGAGGGAGACACAGAATCGGAAACAGGCTCCAGGCTCTGAGCCATCTGCCCAGAGCCCGACGCGGGGCTCGAACTCACAGACCGCGAGATCGTGACCTGGCTGAAGTCGGACGCTTAACCGACTGCGCCACCCAGGCGCCCCAAGATGGATTCTTTTTTAAATTAAGCTCTATGCCAACGTGGGGCTTGAACTCAGGACCCTGAGATCAAGAGTTGCATACTCCACCTACTGAGTCAGCCAGGCCCCTGAAAGATGTATTTTTTTTTTTTAATGTTTATTTATTTTTCTTTGACAGAGAGAGTGTAAGAGAGAGCACGCACAAGTGAGGGAGGGACAGAGAGAAAGGGAGAGAATCTCAAGCAGGCTCTGTGCTGTCAGTGCAGAGCCTTACATGGGGCTTGAATTCATGAACCACAAGGTCATGACCTGAGCTGAAAGCAAGAGTTGGCTGCTCAATTGACCGAGCAATTCAGGCGCCCCATCGAAAGATAGATTTTTAATAAAGTTCCTAGCACAATTGGTTATCTCTCAGAAAATAAAAGTGGACCACACACCAAAATGTAATGAAAGATTAAAAATTTAAATGTAAAAATGGGGCGCCTGGGTGGCTCAGTCGGTTAAGCGTCCGACTTCAGCTCAGGTCATGATCTCGCACTCCGTGAGTTCAAGCCCTGCGTCGGGCTCTGGGTTGATGGCTCAGAGCCTGGAGCCTGCTTCCGATTCTGTGTCTCCCTCTCTCTCTGCCCCTCCCCCGTTCATGCTCTGTCTCTCTCTGTCTCAAAAATAAATAAACGTTAAAAAAAAAAAAATTTTTTAATTTAAATGTACAAACTAATATAATAAAACAATGCAACCAAATCTAGACTATTGCATGTATGTTAATTTCTATAATAAGCAAAAAACTCTTATAAACTGATAACTCAATAGGAAAAAAAAATGAACAATAGGCAGTTCATATTCAGTGGGCCAAAAACCATGAAAGACATACTCAAGTTCACTAACAGTAAAGGAAATACAAATGAATGAAAGTAAAAAGCACTTCACACTTATCAGATTGGTAAGGATGTGAGGAACAGGAAGTCTCATAGGTTGAGAGTGGGCATATGATGATGCATTTAGTAAAAAATCTCTGAAAGGCAATCTGGCAACTGTATTAAAAGTAGAAATGTATATGTACTTTTCAAATTTGCGCTTCTACTTCTGGGAACCAACCCAACAGAAATAAAAGTAGGAATACAAATAGATACATAAAACAGTACGATGAGAGCCCTGCTTGGAGTGACTGAAGAAGTGAAGAAGTAAAGGCAACGTGAACGTCTATCAACAACGGACCACCTCAATAAGCAGCGTCCTCTCAGCATGAAGAGCGCAACTTACGACTCCATTTTTGTAAAACAATGACAAACCATCAGCCCCGCATATAGGCCTATAGATACAAAGAAGTGTGTACGATTATATGAGTTATGAACTAAAATATGGAGAGAACCACAGTAAGCTGCCATAAAGTGAATTATGGCAGGGGGCAGGGCCAAGTTCAATGGAGAAAGAAAGTGTTCGTGATAAAAACAGGTAAGCTATAATCCCATTCGTGTAATGTTTGCATACGCATTACATTTTTTTAAAATGGACCTAACTTTCTCTGTGCAACGCATAAGGAAAAGTCTCCCATAAGATGGCACAATAAGGAAAACTCTTTTTTTTCCTAAATAGAAATTGCCAGAATGAGTACCATCATTCATATTTTACACCATGCATGTGATACGATCACACTATACACTGGTATGTGTGCCCGTCTGGCTGGCAGCCAACCAACCCAGAAAGGTATTACAACTTGCCTGTGACATAACATGCCCAGTTCAGTGAAGTTCGGCTAGAGCACCATCTTCCTCATCAGTGGATTTTTCTTGCAGTACCCACTGGCTGCAGGAGCTTTTCTGTATAGTGGTAGCTCCTCAAAGGAGAAGTTACCTGGTAAGTGATGTGCACGTAAGGCAGATCCCGAGACAGTGGATACACAGGAGAGGACTTCTTCCCATTATGCAGAGCGTCTGTGAGTTCAGAGAGACATCGCTGCACTTCAGTCAGGGTCCTAGACAAAATTTCCATTTCCTTAGACAGTCGATAAGTTTCCTTTTCCTTCTGTGAGTTCTTGCTTTGAGGCAAATTAGGAGGTTCCGGAGTGCTGGTGTGGTCTGGTGTGCTGCTGGACCTGGGTGGTGTTACTGAGCGGTTAACGGGCTCAGCATCTAGAGTTCTGAGAGCTATGGAGCCATCACAGATACTGCTTGGAGGGCTCCTGATTTCTTCAATAAGGGTTCTTCCAGGCCTTTCGCATTGACTACGGCTGTCAGATGTGAAGAGCCCTCTGTTTTGGTGACACAAATCTGGGGAAAGACTTTCAAGTAGCTTTTTTCTGTCTATTTTACTTAATGGAGTACTGAAAGTAGAGTATCCACTCTGGTTTTCACTCGATGTTACTGGCAATTCTTTTTCCAATGTTACTTCTCTAACAATCAAACGAATGATATACTGATCAGTCTTTGAAGAGGGAAGAAATGCTGAATCAGTGGATTTTTGTCTTCCAACCAAAATTAATAATAACTTCTCTGTCAAGAAACACATACCTTTTGGTCTTTCACTTTTCTCAAGTTGAATCTGCTGGATGTTTGGTATAAACGATCGGATGACAGAATAGATAAAAATTATATTGGAAGTATTAGAAGCCACTGCTACCACCTGAGCTTTAAGATCAAATGTTATTAGATCAGGAACCAGAATGCCTGGAATGGTGACTTTTCTGGTCTGCGTAACCTCCTTCTCAAAGGTCACAAGGACCAGATGTGAAGAATCCATGCCAGTTCCTGTCAAGTAGTCTTTTTTTCTTAGACAAAGAAGAGAACTACCCTCAGACTTTGACGTATTGAAATGCAAATGAGTTAGATCCAGAGGATCTGAAAAGGAAGAAAGGGGAGAAACTGATGTTTCAACACTTGTTTTAGAAGCAACTGCCCCCTTACCCCCGGTGGGTACTTCATCAATAACCGGGAAAGGACACAGACAAGGGTCTTCACCGCTAGGTGGAACATCAAAGATTTCAGATGCATTTAAGCCACAGATCTTATCTAGTGGGAGCTCAGTGGCTACAGCGACCTGTGAGTCCATGGTGGCTCTGATGGAGCGCACAGAGCTGTCCACATCAAACACTGGGTGGAAGGAGCACCTGCGAAGAGTCTTCTGAGCACTGTCCCAAATGTAGGAATGCAGGCTGCTGCCAACTGCCACCACCAGCCTCTGGCCATCCTGGGTCCAAGACGCACAGTGAATGAGGCCCTGGGTGTCAATGTCCGCGTTCACCCGGGAACTGTCGCAGTGAACACTGTGGAAAACGGAGACACGCTGCGCAGTCAACACAGCCAGGACAGCACTTTCTGGATGCCACACACAGCCCTGGGGAAGGACAGGGAGTGATTCTCTAATCTCACAGGTCTGAGACATCAGCCGTTTGTTCGTCCCCGTACTGCTGGGACATAGCTGCCACACAATGACACGCTTCTTGTGCTGCACAGCGAGCAGAGCAGGCATGTCAGCTGTGCCAGGTGGGGCCCAAGACACTCCATACACATGTTCAAACTGTCCAATGACCTCTGAGTCCCCAAACCTGGCCTCTCCACTGTGAAGCTGTAAATCAGTCAGGACTACCTGGTTCCCATTAGTCCAGACAAGGCCATGAACAGGGTGTACTGCCTGATACAATGCATTCAGCCCAGTCCTGAGAAGTCTTCCTTTTCCCAACTCCATCCTCTTTGATAAAGGGTATCTGAAATCGTTAAGAAGGAAAGTTTTACCATGAGATTATAATCAGACAAATCCAAAATGTAGGACATTTTATAAGACAATTGGCTTAGGCCTTTCACAGGTCAATATTTCAAGGGGATAAAAGGTCAAAGGCATGTGACAGATTAAAAGACATGACTGAGCCATAACAAGCAGATGTAACATATAAACTTTGATCAGCTCTTGAATTGAGGAAATAAAACTTTCTTTTTAATGTTTGTTTATTTTTGAGAGAGAGAGAGAGACAGAGACAGAGTGCAAGTGGGGGAGGGGCAGAGAAAGAGGGAGACACAGAATCCAAAGCAGGCTCCAGGCTCTGAGCTGTCAGCACAGAGCCAGATGTGGGGCTCAAACCCAGGAACCTCCAGATCATGACCCAAATAGAAGTCAGATGCTTAACCAACTGAGCCACCCAGGTGCCCCGGAAATAAAATTTTCTATTAAAAAAAAATATTTTTAGAATTGGAGAAATTTGAATATGCAATAGATATTAGGAGATACTGTGGAGTTATTTTCTTTTTAAAAAACCGTTTATTATTTATTTTAAGAGAGTGTGTGCAAGCGGGGGAGGACCAGAGAGAGAGGAGAAAGAGAATCCCAAGCAGGCTCTGCTCTGTCAGCACAGAGCCCCACGTGGGGCTCTAACCCATGAACCATGAGATCATGACCTGAGATGAAATCAAGAGTCAGATGCTTAACCAAATGAGCCACCCAGGAGCCTTAGAGTTCTTAATCTTAAGTGTGAACACGGTATTGGTCATGTAGGAGAATGTCCTTGCTGTTAAAATATGATGTTGGAGTATTTGGGGTAAAGTGTCATGATGCCTACAATTTGCTTTCAAATGGCTTAGCTAAATCCAGAAACACCAGGGGCACCTGGGTGGCTCAGTCGGTTGAGTGTCCGACTTCGCCTCAGGTCATGATCTCACAGTTCATGGGTTCGAGCCCCTCATCAGGCTCTGTGCTGACCCCTTGCTCGGAACCTGGGGCCTGCTTCAGATTCTGTGTCTCCTTCTCTCTCTGCCCCTCCCCCACTCACGTTTTGTCTCACTCTGTTTCTCAAAAATAAATAAATGTAAAAAAAAATTTTTTTTTTAAATCAGAAACACCAAACCCTACACATTTTATATAGAAACACAGAAAGATAAAACAGATGTAGCAAAATGTTAATAAATCCTGAATCTAGATTGAGGCTATATTGATATTCCTGGTACTTTCAACTTTTAAGTTAAAAATTTCTCAAATTAAAATATTGAGAAAAACCTCTTTCACCATCTAATTTCTATTCTTCTTTCACTGCCAAGTCAAGCATTAACTGATATTCACATCTCTGACTTTATTAGCACTTATTTCCTCAACTCCCTTCAAAATGGCTTTTACCTCCTCAGCGAAATGACACTCAAAGAGTCACTGTTGCTATTTCTACTTCACCATATTCAAATAGCACTTAATAATTTTCAGACCATTTTCACATTCCCTATCACATTTGCTCCTTGCAACAATCTTTTGCAAGAATACAAAGTAGGTTAGGGAAATATTATCTTCAATTTTTTTCATTCTTAAGGTTTTTTTTTTTTAAGGAATTTAAATTACTAAAGAAGTACATGTTCACTGCAATGAAATTGAGACAAACCAGAAGTTTCTATAATAAAATGAAATGTTTCCTCCTACCCCATGCCAACACCTCCCCTCCCCAAACTCAAGTCCTTGATAAAAGCACTGTTAACAATTTGGTGTGTAGCCTCTGAAACCATTAAACAAACTTATCCAAAAAAAAAAAAAAAGAATTTTATATGTGCTAAGTTTTTTTTTTCTTTTAAACAAAAAAAGGGGGTTTAAGTCAAAGTTCCTGGGTACTAACAACGGAATCCACTCTGGCTAACTTAAGTAAAAAAAAAATCTCAAGAACCAGCATCAGAAAAACAAGCAGAAACCAAGTGAGGCTAGCTGGACGGAATAAACCATGGCTACCACTCTCTCAATACATTAGTGGCTGAGAATCTAACTTCACTGCCCCTTCACTTGATAACAATTGCTTAAGATTCCGAATAGGGGTCCAGGGGGAAACTTCCCACTGGCTTGGCCTAGCTTCCAAGTCCTGCTCTAGCTGCCAGGATGGGGAGAAAGAGGGGTCCCCACAAAGGCTTCTGTCATAAGGGACGGGGGTTCTGCTTTCCCACCAACACTCACACAAAGGGCAGCTGCCCCCAAATTAGGAAGGGGTTTTAAAAAAAGGACCAACAATAACCACAGGGATCTCATATGTTACATACTATTCACTAATTTATTTTAAATCACGGGTACTTTTTCAAGTCAGTAACAAACAGATCTTCCTCAATCTTTTAAGTAGCCCCATTAGTAGCTGCAAGGTATGCCGTAATGCACTCAAAGATTCCACTATAGGTGGGAATTCAGCTTGTGTCCCAACTTTTTTCTAGATGTGGATAGGGTCCACAAGTTTAGTTACTACTCAGTCCCTATCACTGTTCTCACATTTCCTTCCTTCCAGTGTCACCTACTCTCGTGTTTTCAATTGTTACCTGTGTTTATTACTGTCAGATCTGCTGTGCTACAATGCTATTCAATTATATGTTAGGCTTCACATTATGGCTGATATTAGCCCTGCCCACATTCATTTCAAACTGGACCTACATGAAAGGAAAAAAAAAAAAAAATGGCCTTTTTTGCTCTCCACAGCAGCTCCTCAATTTCTGTTAATGGATATCGCCATTCTCACATTCACTCAGGCTAAAAACTCAGGACTCCATTTGACTACTCTCCTGACTTCTCAGTTGGTGACCAAGTCTTATTAATTCTTAGAACTGTTCCTGAATCCAGTCCTTCTTATCATTCCCACCAGCACTATCCTGAATCAGATCGCTGTTACTGCAAACCTAGTTGACTGTAATAATTGCCTCCTACTTGGTTTCCCTACCTCTTTCTTTTTTTTTTTAATTTTTTTTTTCAACGTTTATTTTTTATTTTTGGGACAGAGAGAGACAGAGCATGAACGGGGGAGGGGCAGAGAGAGAGGGAGACACAGAATCGGAAACAGGCTCCAGGCTCTGAGCCATCAGCCCAGAGCCTGACGCGGGGCTCGAACTCCCGGACCGCGAGATCGTGACCTGGCTGAAGTCGGACGTTTAACCGACTGCGCCACCCAGGCGCCCCCCTACCTCTTTCTTTCTCTAGTCCATCTTGTGCAAAACCAGTCTTAAAATATCCTTTTAAGTATATCATTTATCAGCTTAAAAATTGGCAGATGTTAAGAACAAAATTCGGGACACCTGGGTGGCTCAGTCAGTTAAGTGTCTGACTCTTGATTTTCAGCTCAGATCATGATCTCACATGGAATCGAGGGTTGTGGAATCGAGCCCTGTGTCAGGCTCTGTGCTGAGCAAGGAGCCTGCTTGGGATTCTCTCCCTTCCCCCCACCAAATAAACATTAAAAAAAAAAAAATGGCAGATGCTACCTACTGCCCACAGCTGCACTGTTCAATACAGTAGCTACTAACCATATGTGCTTTGCAAATTTAATTAAAATAAAAAATCAGTTCCTCAGTCACACTAGTCTTTTTCAAGTGGTCAACAGTCACATGTGGCTAGTGGCTATCACATTGGGCAGAGGAGAATAGGACATCTCCATCACTGAAGAAAGTTCTGCTGGGCAGCACTGTCCTATAGGATAAAGTCTGAATTCCTCAGTTGGGCATTCGAACCCCTACCCATTGTGGACCTCCTATCCCTCCAGTCTTATTTCTAGTTGGTCATCTTCATAGTTACAATACTCGGCCCATTCAAAACACTCAATCAATGACAGGGGAACTGATGGCCCAGCTTAATTACTATCTCTTCAAGGGGTCTTCTTTAATCATCCTGCTAAATCTGATACTTTCCTCCTCTTAACTCCTATAGCCTTACAGCCTACAGCTCTCATGTGACATCTTCAGTTTATTATCTGCAATTACCAGTTACTCTTTCATGTACTACCTCACATTTCACAACTAACGCACAAGGTCTTTGAGAGTAAAAATGAGACTTAAGTTAAAAACTTAACTTCTTTGCCTGTCAAGTATTTTCAGATGGAATGCTCTGTATCCATCACATCATAAAAGGAGTTTCTAATTGGGTCACAGTATTGCCAGGGGTTGTGTTGTGATCACATTTTTGTTGCTTTAGGCTCTTATGATACTGTAAGTAAACCTCTTTGGACTATATTTGGACATGCTTTCTAAGTCTGTTAAATAATCCCTCCTCTTTTTTTTTTTTTCAATTGAGA